TGGATTGACACCTGTCCTCAGAGACCATGATACACACTGACAGAGAGCAGAATAGAGACTGTTCCCGCTACATAGGGTCACTTGGCAGATATGGATTGACACCTGTCCTCAGAGCCCCTGATACACACTGACAGAGCAGAATAGGGACTGTTCCCCCTACATAGGGTCACTTGGCAGATATGGATTGACACCTGTCCTCAGAGATCATGATACACACTGACACAGAGCAGAATACAGACTTTTCCCCCTACATAGGGTCACTTGGCAGATATGGATAGACACCTGACCCCAGAGACCATGATACACACTGACAGAGAGCAGAATAGAGACTGTTCCCCCTACATAGGGTCACTTGCCAGATATGGATTGACACCTGTCCTCAGAGACCATGATACACACTGACACAGAGCAGAATAGAGACTGTTCCCCCTACATAGGGTCACTTGGCAGATATGGATTGACACCTGTCCTCAGAGATCATGATACACACTGTCAGAGAGCAGAATATAGATTGTTCCCCCTACATAGGGTCACTTGGCAGATATGGATTGACACCTGTCCTCAGAACCCATGATACACACTGACAGAGAGCAGAATAGAGACTGTTCCCCCTACATAGGGTCACTTGGCAGATATGGATTGACACCTGTCCTCAGAACCCATGATACACACTGTCAGAGAGCATAATAGAGACTGTTCCCCCTACATAGGGTCACTTGGCAGACATGGATTGACACCTGTCCTCAGAGACCATGATACACACTGTCAGAGAGCAGAATAGAGACTGTTCCCCCTACATAGGGTCACTTGGCAGATATGGATTGACACCTGTCCTCAGAGATCATGATACACACTGACACAGAGCAGAATAGAGACTGTTCCCCTACATTGGGTCACTTGGCAGATATGGATTGACACCTGTCCTCAGAAACCATAATACACACTGACAGAGAGCAGAATAGAGACTGTTCCCCCTACATAGGGTCACTTGGCAGATATGGATTGACACCTGTCCTCAGAGACCATGATACACACTGACAGAGAGCAGAATATAGATTGTTCCCCCTACATAGGGTCACTTGGCAGATATGGATTGACACCTGTCCTCAGAACCCATGATACACACTGACAGAGAACAGAATAGAGACTGTTCCCCCTACATAGGGTCACTTGGCAGATATGGATTCACACCTGTCTTCAGAGATCATGATACACACTGACACAGAGCAGAATAGAGACTGTTCCCCTACATAGGGTCACTTGGCAGATATGGATTCACACCTGTCTTCAGAGACCATGATACACACTGACAGAGAGCAGAATAGAGACTGTTCCCCCTACATAGGGTCACTTGGCAGATATGGATTGACACCTGTCCTCAGAGCCCCTGATACACACTGACACAGAGCAGAATAGAGACTGTTCCTCCTACATAGGGTCACTTGGCAGATATGGATTGACACCTGTCCTCAGAGACCATGATACACACTGACACAGAGCAGAATAGAGACTGTTCCCCTACATAGGGTCACTTGGCAGTTATGGATTGACACCTGTCCTCAGAGCCACTAATACACACTGACACAGAGCAGAATAGAGACTGTTCCTCCTACATAGGGTCACTTGGCAGATATGGATTGACACCTGTCCTCAGAGACCATGATACACACTGACAGATAGCATTATAGAGACTGTTCCCCCTATATAGGGTCACTTGGCAGATATGAATTGACACCTGTCCTCAGAGACCATGATACACACTGTCAGAGAGCAGAATAGAGACTGTTCCCCCTACATATGGTCACTTGGCAGATATGGATTGACACCTGTCCTCATAGACCATGATACAAACTGACACAGAGCAGAATAGGGACTGTTCCCCCTACATAGCGTCACTTGGCAGATATGGGTTGACACCTGTCCTCAGAGACCATGATACACACTGACAGAGAGCAGAATAGAGACTGTTCCCCCTACATAGGGTCACTTGGCAGATATGGATTGACACCTGTCCCCAGAGACCATGATACACACTGACAGAGAGCAGAATAGAGACTGTTCCCCCTACATAGGGTCACTTGGCAGATATGGATTGACACCTGTCCTCAGAGATCATGATACACACTGACACAGAGCAGAATAGAGACTGTTCCCCTACATAGGGTCACTTGGCAGATATGGATTGATACCTGTCCTCAGAGACCATGATACACACTGTCAGAGAGAAGAATAGAGACTGTTCCTCCTACATAGGGTCACTTGGCAGATATGGATTGACACCAGTCTCAGAGACCATGATACACACTGACAGAGCAGAATAGAGACTGTTCCCCCTACATAGGGTCACTTGGCAGATATGGATTGACACCTGTCTTCAGAGATCATGATACACACTGACACAGAGCAGAATAGAGACTGTTCCCCTACATAGGGTCACATGGCAGTTATGGATTGACACCTGTCCTCAGAACCCATGATACACACTGAGAGAGCAGAATAGAGACTGTTCCCCCTACATAGGGTCACATGGCAGATATGGATTGACACCTGTCCTCAGAGACCATGATACACACTGACAGAGAGCAGAATAGAGACTGTTCCCCTACATAGGGTCACTTGGCAGATATGGATTGACACCTGTCCTCAGAGACCATGATACACACTGACAGAGAGAAGAATAGAGACTGTTCCCCCTATATAGGGTCACTTGGCAGATATGGATTGACACCTGTCCTCAGAGACCATGATACACACTGACAGAGAGCATAATAGAGACTGTTCCCCCTATATAGGGCCACTTGGCAGATATGGATTGACACCTGTCCTCAGAAACCATGATACACACTGACACAGAGCAGAATAGAGACTGTTCCTCCTACATAAGGTCACTTGGCACATATGGATTGACACCTGTCCTCAGAGACCATGATACACACTGACACAGAGCAGAATAGAGACTGTTCCTCCTACATAGGGTCACTTGGCAGATATGGATTGACACCTGTCCTCAGAGACCTTGATACACACTGACAGAGCAGAATAGAGACTGTTCTCCTACATAGGGTCACTTGGCAGATATGGATTGACACCAGTCTCAGAGACCATGATACACACTGACAGAGAGCAGAATAGAGACTGTTCCCCCTACATAGGGTCACTTGGCAGATATTGATTGACACCTGTCCTCAGAGACCATGATACACACTGACACAGAGCAGAATAGAGACTGATTCCCCTACATAGGGTCACTTGGCAGATATGGATTGACACCTGTCCTCAGAGACCATGATACACACCGACACAGAGCAGAATAGAGACTGTTCCCCCTACATAGGGTCACTTGGCAGATATGGATTGACACCTGTCCTCAGAGACCATGATACAACTGACACAGAGCAGAATAGGGACTGTTCCCCCTACATAGCGTCACTTGGCAGATATGGGTTGACACCTGTCCTCAGAGACCATGATACACACTGACAGAGAGCAGAATAGAGACTGTTCCACCTACATAGGGTCACTTGGCAGATATGGATTGACACCTGTCCTCAGAGACCATGATACACACTGACAGAGAGCAGAATAGAGACTGTTCCCCCTACATGGGGTCACTTGGCAGATATGGATTGACACCTGTCCTCAGAGACCATGATACACACTGACACAGAGCAGAATAGAGACTGTTCCCCCTACATAGGGTCACTTGGCAGATATGGATTGACACCTGTCCTCAGAGACCATGATACACAATGACACAGAGCACAATAGAGACTGTTCCTCCTACATAAGGTCACTTGGCAGATATGGATTGACACCTGTCCTCAGAGCACCTGATACACATTGACACAGAGCAGAATAGAGACTGTTCTCCTACATAGGGTCACTTGGCAGATATGGATTGACACCTGTCCTCAGAGCCCCTGATACACACTGACACAGAGCAGAATAGATACTGTTCTCCTGTTACGGTTGCCTCCAGGCTGGCTGGAAGTTGGACCATAGAAAAGGATGCTCCTAGCGCTCACCAAATGACCATCAGCACCATAGACACCATAACTACTGCGTAGCCACCATAAGTACTGCAGACTCCACGAACCACCGCTGCTGGGCTGGTATCTCGCCGTCTGCTCTGTGCCCTGGACCCACGACCAGGCTCCAGGTTCCAGTAGGTGAACCTCTTCCTTCTGCAGAGCGAAGCAGGATCAGGAACAAGAGCTCTTACAAGAGCTCAGTAGCTGAGTATGAAGAGCATAGCAATCCCTGTAGTGATTATAGCTGTCCCCTACAAACATGAGTCAAGGCTGCAAGTTAGAGGGTCGAGAAGATCTGATGTTTAATGGCACACACTCTGCTTTTATGAGATTCTGCCCATGCAAGGGAGACACCCACATAATTAGCAGTATAACCAATCGGAACAATATACATTCGGGGAAATTCCCATCCCTCAGATAAACACATAACATAACATAATTAAAACAGAACAGTAAAAATACAGTTTTTATACATGTACTATAACGTCCAAACTACACATCCAATCTTCATAAAAATACATATTTAGAATCAATCCATTCAGGGGAGCAACATATTAAAAACTGGCACAAATCAGACAAGGGGTTCAAAAGTTAGCAAAAGTATCTTTTGGGGCCTGGCTGGCAGCATGGTTTTCTGGCCCAAACCGGATTTACAGAGCCCTCTATCCTGGACAATGGGGAAAGTAATCCAATTATCCAGGGATAGAGGCAGACTCCATTAACCACATGTTAGCAAAAGACACAAAAAGACACAAAAATGCATAACTCCTATCATACTGAACAGAACCCCCACATTCATCCTATCCCCAGATGGCTTGGATCTGAGCGCTCAATATATCCAAACAGCGCTCAGATCCCATAAATACAGTCAAATCGCCATACACACTAGGTCCATAGTCATGGGGCAGAAGGCTGGCAATTAGGCTTCTCCATAGCACAGGGAAGCAGGGCAATTTGTCAAATAAAATAACAGTTACAAATGGCAGTTTGTAACATCTCCTACATAGGGTCACTTGGCAGATATGGATTGACACCTGTCTTCAGAGATCATGATACACACTGACACAGAGCAGAATAGAGACTGTTCCCCCTACATAGGGTCACATGGCAGATATGGATTGACACCTGTCCTCAGAGACCATGATACACACTGACAGAGAGCAGAATAGAGACTGTTCCCCCTACATAGGGTCACTTGGCAGATATGGATTGACATCTGTCCTCAGAGCCCCTGATACACATTGACAGAGCAGAGTAGGGACTGTTCCCCCTACATAGGGTTACTTTGCAGATATGGATTGACACCTATCCTCAGAGACCATGATACACACTGACAGAGAGAAGAATAGAGACTGTTCCCCCTATATAGGGTCACTTGGCAGACATGGATTGACACCTGTCCTCAGAAACCATGATACACACTGACACAGAGCAGAATAGGGACTGTTCCCCCTACATAGGGTCACTTGACCGATATGGATTGACACCTGTCCTCAGAGCCACTGATACACACTGACACAGAGCAGAATAGAGACTGTTCTCCTACATAGGGTCACTTGGCAGATATGGATTGACACCTGTCTTCAGAGACCATGATACACACTGACACAGAGCAGAATAGAGACTGTTCCCCTACATAGGGTCACTTGGCAGTTATGGATTGGCACCTGTCCTCAGAGCCACTGATACACACTGACACAGAGCAGAATAGAGACTGTTCCTCCTACATAGGGTCACTTGGCAGATATGGATTGACACCTGTCCTCAGAGACCATGATACACACTGACAGAGAGCAGAATAGAGACTGTTCCCCCTACATAGGGTCACTTGGCAGATATGGATTGACACCTGTCCTCAGAGACCATGATACACACTGACAGAGAGCAGAATAGAGACTGTTCCTTCTACATAGGGTCACTTGGCAGATATGGATGGACACCTGTCCTCAGAGACCATGACACACTGACACAGAGCACAATAGAGACTGTTCCTCCTACATAAGGTCACTTGGCAGATATGGATTGACACCTCTCCTCAGAGACCATGATACACACTGTCAGAGAGAAGAATAGAGACTGTTCCCCCTACATAGGGTCACTTGGCAGATATGGATTGACACCTGTCCTCAGAGCCCCTGATACACAGTGACACAGAGCAGAATAGAGACTTTTCTCCTACATAGGGTCACTTGGCAGATATGGATTCACACCTGTCTTCAGAGATCATGATACACACTGACACAGAGCAGAATAGAGACTGTTCTCCTACATAGGGTCACTTGGCAGATATGGATTCACACCTGTCTTCAGAGATCATGATACACACTGACACAGAGCAGAATAGAGACTGTTCCCCTACATAGGGTCACTTGGCAGATATGGATTGACACCTGTCCTCAGAGACCATGATACACACTGACACAGAGCAGAATAGAGACTGTTCTCCTACATAGGGTCACTTGGCAGATATGGATTCACACCTGTCTTCAGAGATCATGATACACACTGACACAGAGCAGAATAGAGACTGTTCCCCTACATAGGGTCACATGGCAGTTATGGATTGACACCTGTCCTCAGAACCCATGATACACACTGAGAGAGCAGAATAGAGACTGTTCCTGTAACGGAGCTCCCTGTACTCCGACTGAGTACCCTCCGTTGATGGATGCTCCTAGCGCTTCCTGAGGACTCCAAACACTGCAGCAGACACCACAACCACCGCAGACTCCACAACCGCCATAGCTTAACTGGAGTCTCGCCGTCTTCCTTCCACCCTGGATCAGCTTCTGTCCTCCAGGACCGTGTGGGGAAGACCTCTCCTCCAGGAGAGCGTAACAGGAACAGCTCTTAAAAGAGCTAAGTGATTAAAAGCTCAGGGGAGTATGCAAAGCATAGCAATCCCCAGTGTGATATAGCAGTTCCCTCCAATAACGAGACAAGGCTACGTATTGAGGGTCAAGAAAATCTGATGTTTAATGGCACACACTCTGCTTTTATGAGATTCTGCCCATGCAAGGGAGACACCCACATAATTAGCAGTATAACCAATCGGAACAATATACATTCGGGGAAATTCCCATCCCTCAGATAATCACATAACATAATTAAAACAGAACAGTAAAAATACAGTTTTTATACATGTACTATAACTTCCAAACTACACATCCAATCTTCATAAAAATTACATATTTGGAATCAATCCATTAAGGGGAGCAACATATTAAAAAATGACACAAATCAGACAAGGGGTTCAAAAGTGTCTTTTGGGGCCTGGCTGGCAGCATGGTTTTCTGGCCCAAACCGGTTTTACAGAGGCCTCTATCCTGGACAATGGGGAAAGTAATCCAATTATCCAGGGATAGAGGCAGACTCCATTAACCACATGTTAGCAAAAGACACAAAAAGACACAAAAATACATAACTCCTATTGAACTGAACAGAACCCCCACATTCAACCTATCCCCAGATGGCTTGGATCTGAGCGCTCAATATATCCAAACAGCGCTCAGATCCCACAAATACAGTCAAATCACCATACACACTAGGTCCATAGTCATGGGGCAGAAGGCTGGCAATTAGGCTTCTCCATAACACAGGGAAGCAGGGCAATTTGTCAAATAAAATAACAGTTACAAATGGCAGTTTGTAACAGTTCCCCCTACATAGGGTCAC